CGTGCGCGGCGGACCACGGGAGCCAGCCGCAGGTCATGTAGTAGGGCGAATGTGCCCCATCATGAGGGTTCAGCCGCATGCCTTATGGGACAGCCAATGGCTCCCTGTCTGTGAATGGCTCCGGCTCATTGCAAACTCGAAACTCCCAGGGGGCGCAAAAGACAGGTATAGCCCAAGGTGCAGTTGCTTTGAACACCTGAATGGCGAAGTAGCAGGCTCTAGAAACAAAAAGTCGGGTAGCCAAGCCTTGGCCAAGCTCCAAACCCCTTAACTTCAACCCTCAACCCTTTGAACACCGGACTCAACCCCAAACTCCTTAACTCCCTAACCCGCGCAAACCACCCAACACCCTGATCCAAGCACATCAAACCAGGCAGGCGGCAAAGGGCCGGCTTCCCGGTGAACATCTCCATGGCAACGCTCTCAAACCCCCCGTCCAAGCGATGATAGGACTGCACGAACTTGGCCACCGCCTTCCTCGCGTGTTTCGGAGCTCGGCGGGTCAAATCCCCCGCCCTAAAGTGCTCGGTCGAAATGTCTACCCGCTTGATAGCCAGCATGTTGCCTCCCACAAGCACATCTGCCCTACCATACCTACCCTGCAACTGCGAAACTTCCACCTTGAGCGTCGTCAAGCTGCCAGTTGGTGTCCCAGTTTCCAAGCTATTGGGTAGCCCCTGAGTCCGAAATGTTTCTGGATGCGTAGGTGAATGCTTGTCAAGCCCTGGCCCGGTCTGGTTATCCAATTGGACGGGAACCCAGGCGGTGGGAGACCACATATATTTCTTATGTATGGCTTTCCTGTGAGTAAACCTGAAGCAGGTCAATACCAGGCAAACACATGAAACACATAGGATTCAAGGAGTGACCGCTTGGTTTTGGCATAGGGTTGAGCCAACTTCCGCAAAAAGAAGATAAAACTCCGATGATGTCCGTAAGGTGAGGGGAGGCACTGTCGTCAAATATGCACAAACCAGCAAACACGCAGCCACGCATCTCCAGCAAGCACGGCCAGAATTCGTTCTCCTTGGTCGGCTTGGCAAAGCACAGGTTGCCGTGCTTGCCTGGCCTCTGCCAGTATGGAAGGCGATCGTCAATGGTCACCGCCTTCCACTCCTCTGACTTTGGGTCATACAGCCTCACGTCATAGCGGCCGTCTTCCGTGAGGCTGTGCTGGCGGAAGAGCGACCGCACACGATCCGGATACTCTGCCAGTGTCGCCATAGCGCTGACCATCCAGCAATCTCCCAAGTAACCTCAGAACATCGAAGCGCCAAAGTGGTGAACCGTACCAGCCAGCACCTTTCGCGCCCTGATTCAATGATTCTCGCCTCCTTCCTTCCTTTTAAAACCAAAAGCTGCAGAAACACAGCGGGGCTCTTGTAAAACGTGTGTGCCTACCAACCCTTACAGCAAGAGGGCAGCCTGAAAAGAGCTGGAACAGGCACCCATCCTGTTTCCATTGAAATAGCACGTCGTCTTCGAAAAGGCGGCGTGCTCTGGATTATTCAACATGGTCACTTCAACTCCTGTCTGCTTTATCCATAATAATAGCATTATCCATGCACGATAAGGAGTCATCAAACAGGCTGAGGCGGGCCAGGAAGCCTTGCTCGATGTCGCGCGGGGAGACGCGCTGGAAAAGGCAAGGCTCCCCTTCGGCAGCGAACAGCTTGTACCTCATTGAACCAAAGCCAACATCTTTACACGTTTGTATCTCTATTTGCTGTGCTCATCCACGTTTTGCTTTAGCAATGGTACACAAAACTCTTGTGTTGCAATTCGTGAAGCCCTGGGCGCTCCCAGTCACGGCTTGAGAGGACTCCCTTTCAGCCTTTGCAACTGAACACCCCCTCAGGCCCCAGTGATACGCGCTGTGTAATCCAAGGCACTTGCCCGCCTCTTTCCCCATCATCTGCCGAGGGCGAACCCAACCAGGCACCACCATCTTCATCATGTCCTGCACAAACCACCCTTCATTCACCAGAGTGGGGCACGAAGAAAGCAATCTGACATCGTCCGGAACATGATGTTTGCATCGTTGAAACAGGCTTTCTGATTTCTGAGGCCAGCCAAACCACGGGCCAGGATGCCAGGATGCCAGCAAGCAAGAGCACAAGCCTCCTTTTGTCCATCCTAGGAGCCACTCGATTTTAAAGACCCCTTCGTCCTCGAGGTATTGCGCGACGTTGGGGTTGGCCTTGTCCCCGAGCAGGCCCCCGATGCTGGCGTCGCCGGCCGGGAAGTCTGGGTCCTCGAAGAGCGGGCGCTCGGTGTTCAGCTCCCGCAGGTCGAGGCCAGGCGCCAGGTCGCGGAGCTCCTCGGCTTTGGTTTTCAAAAGTTCTGCAAAGCAGCAGGGTCGGTCGAAAAGCGAGGGGGCGGAGTAGTTGGCTTCTGCGGCAAAGACGCACGTGGCCAGCAAGATCAAAACCGCTGACACTAGAGCCGAGAACTGGTGACGGCTTTGCGGATTAGTTTTTTGCTCTGACAATTGGCTGCCCCCCTGTGTAGCGGTTCCCTGCTATCGTGGGAACTGGAAGAAATGGGTCCGCAAGGTCTTTTACCAGGCTGGTTGCCTGCCGATGCCCAACAGGAGCCTTGCCATGTGCGGACCTGCCCATAAGCCGCTCTTGGCCGGCAAGGTGCCGGCAAAGGAGCCAGGATGTGTCGGGGCGCAATGACTTTGAGATGCAGCGGGTTGTCTCGCTGCACCACAACCTCCTGACAGGCGCAGGCAAAGGGCTTCTACGATGTCCGTCCCGCACGGAATGCCTCAAGGCAATACGTGCCTGACAAGGCTGCACCAAACAACCCCCCCAACTCCTCAGAAGGGCAGGTCGAAGCATCTCGGCACAAAGAGTTCCCCATGGCTCTACGATGGAGTCGCTACTTTGAGCGCCTCCTTGTTTCGAACGGTCCCAGTTGGATTTTGGTTTGGTGGAGCTTGCTCATGGGTCTCTCGCATCTGTGGCAGGAACTGCTCTGCATTCAGCGCTTGGCCCGTCCAGCCAAACGCCAGATGCTAGAACGTGAGCGAGAGTTGCAGCGAAAATGGAGTTCCTACAAGCCTGCTGGGCTCCTGCACTGCTGAGTCCAGGGCGGCAAAGCGCAAAGGATGGCCAAGTTTGAGGCAGACGCAACTAGTTCGTCCATGCCTCAAATATCTTACTGGCACCCTCTCATCGACAAGAATGCCTCCACTACTATCTCAGTAGTTCGGTCCCTGGAATGGAGATGGTTTCACTTCCGCAGGAAGGTCTAGTCTGTTCAGCCTGTCCCAAGCGTAGCTCCCGCGCACCTCACTTCTGGAGTTCGGTCCCGGGGACCAGGCCTCAGATCAGCCCACACGTCCCGACACGTCCAGGTGGGGAACCTGTTAGCTCGCTGGAACAACACAGCGTCAGCTCGGGGCGCACCTCACATACTCAACCCTGATCCTGAGTCAACGCGGGAAATCGGAAAGAAATCCCAGGAATGGAAGCTGGGCCTTTTTGGGACCTGGGGTTTTCGCAGGCCCTCCCTGAGCCGGCGGGCTCGCGAAGCCGGCCAGCAGCAGCGCCAGCTCCATCGCCACCAGCAGTGCCATGAGGCCCCGCAGCGCCGGGAGCCCACCTGCCGGACATCGGACGAGCCGAAGCCAAGACGCCTTTCGGTGTCGGTTTCTCGGCAATTGAGCCAAGCCTTTGGGAGATGCTCAGGAAGATTGTGCGCTGCCTTGCAGCTTTTGGGAAGTCAAAAGTAGGAATGGTGGTAGGCCATATTCTGAGGCAAATGGTTCTAATTATCTATTTATATATACATAGAGAGAGAGAGAGAGAGAGAGAGAGAGAGAGAGAGTGAGAGTCACTTGGATGATCGGTGGCTGAGGGTGAAGATACAAATGCTGACCGTCTCTGCACATGACTAAGCTAGAGGATGCAGGAAAGCCTGCACCCCATCCCAGAATCTCGCAATCCCAGCCTTCAGAACTGGTGGGATAAGGTGTATCCCTCATATGGGAGCGGGCAGTTGTTAAAAGCTCTGGACAGTTCCCACCACTGAAAGTTCAGTGCAGGCCCTGACACAAAGTCAGCCACCAAAGCCTTCCGAGATGAAGATGTGGGGTTTGCAAGTAGGAGCCGTGCACAAACCCTCCAGTCAATGCCTTCTTTTGCTGCAGGCTGAGCAGTCGAGTGACAACTTTACTCAGCACTCTAAGAGAATGGCCTATTTGTTTTGGCGGCTCTTCGGCTGGACCAAGGGCAACGCATGGTCACACACTCAAAAAGGTTTGATGGCGCGCGAATGCGCAACAAGACAGCGGCAATTGACATCTGAAATGCTTGCAGGACAACAACCGCCTAGATCTTTCTACACATCTATGCACCAACACGCTTGCGCGTAGCTTGGTCAGGCCATGATTTGCCTCGGCTGACATCAGATGTTGCACGAGGATGCATCGACAAGCAAGCGGAAACCAGCTGGCTGCACTCCCGCGTCGCCCAAGCTTGACTGTGCGAGAACACATCAAATGCTTCTCGTGTGATTCTTGCACATCTCTGCCAAGGTTGTTTTTTGAACTGCGTCATGACCGAGCATGGCTTTCAACGTGCCAATTGCTGGGGCGAAATTGGCACGGCAGTGTTGAGGCAGGAAGGTAGTTGACCCAAGCTGTGCCCAAAACGCTTCATGTCCAAAATGCCTGGGAATCAACTTGCAGGGCCTCTGCCGCTGCAGCCACGCTGCGGATGTAGGGATCCCCCAGCGCATCCAAGACATCTGGCCGCTGCTCCCGGTCTCGCGCCAAAAGCCGTCCAATGAAAACCTGGCCATAAACAGCGCAGTGCTGCACAAAGGGGGCACACCCATGAACCAAGCCACTGTCACAAGTGATGGTCGACATTCAGGCGACCCTTTGCTCAACGAGCTGGAAAGGCTTCACAGGGTTTCACGCCGCAACGACCCCATTCCGCAGCTCAAGTCCCCAGCGCCTTGGCTTCGGGAGACACCTTCGGCGATGGCGGAACCACCTGAGACCCCATCGCTGGCCCATGCGGGGCACGGCACACCAATAACTGCAACAACACTGGCAACTGCACTGGCATACGCATTAGTACAAACTCCTGGCAAATGATTCAGTTTCCACTTTCCTAATAAAGAGGATGCCAATAAACCATGGCCGTCTGGAATGATGCCTAACAAACTCATTGCCTCTCCACTCTCAAGCTTGAGGCCGAACTGTCGGCTTTTGCTGACCTCACTCTCAAACAATGAGTGGGCCGCTTCACACTGAACAACAAAAAGGCGGATCTTCTTCACATGTCTCGCACCGTCCCCAAAAAGCACGCGCAAGCCGGCTCAACTCCACGACAGCTTGCCTGCCATGACCTTCAGCAAGAAAGCCCAACGGCGAGTTCGGCCAAACGAGCGCAAGCCCCAGCAACAGCGCAACAGGGAAAGTCCCCGCATCCGCCTCAAAAACCTCCGGGCGGTCTATGGGTGTGCCTCTTTCGGGGGGACACCCCAAAAAGGGTGGTCTTTTGCCAAGGGCACCAGCTCAAAGGCGTCCTCCGCCGCCTGGCGCCGGAAGGCGTCCTCGTCAGGGCCAAATTTTGACACCCACCGCCAAGGAAGACACGGTGCTGGAATGCCTGTCCTATGATCACTTTGGACAGAGACCCTATGTCCCGGGAGACGACCCTGAAACAAATTTCTCTTGCACTAGACTTTGCAACCAAACATGTCTCAACGAACATGGGCCCCTTTGTACTTGTAGCCGCCTGATACTTTTGCATGCCTTGCAGGGCTGAGTCACGGATTGTGGGCAATTCTGGGGCCAGTCCTGGCTCTGGCCCTCCCCAAACGGCCGGCGGTTGAAGAGCAGCTCCTTAGTGCGAACCCACGAGGCTGTCACGACCTCTGCAAAAATGCCACCTAGCAAGGAGGAAGCGGGTGATATACTATTGGGTGCATGTATATATAAGATGCAAGGGCAATAACATGTACTTCGGCACCATTGATATGTACTTTATTCTCAGAACGCCCTGTGGACCGAATGTGAGGAGTAAAGCGGGCTTGGCAACCATGCGGGGCACGGCACACCAATAACTACAACAACACGTGCAACTGCACTGGCATACGCACTAGTACAAACTCCTTGCAAATGATTCAGTTTCCACTTTCCTAATAAAGAGGATGCCATTAAACCATATTGCCTCTCCACTCTCAAGCTTGAGGCCGAACTGTTGGTTTTTACTGACCTCACTCTCAAACAATGAGTGGGCCGCTTCACACTGAACAACAAAAAGGCGGATCTTCTTCGCCAAAGGGAAGGCAGGAAACCTGTGAATCGTAAACTGGATTAAGCAGTGATGAACATGATGCGCAGGCAACTGCAGTTCTTCCGAAACTGAGGGTGCCAAGAGTAATTAAGCTGCTCAAAGCAAGCGGCATCAAAGGGACAGCACTGCCCGTTTTGCAACAAAAGACATGTGCGTCGTAGCTGTCCCTAACCCGCAGCTTTGCCATCTGTGTGGCAAATCAGGAGCACGAAGGGTACTGCTAATAAGGACATTGCAACTAAGGACCAAGGGCTATGGTATGCGCTTGGTAGTAGGCTTTGACTTTACGCAGGGAACCTGATACCGCTCAAAAACTGCAATGATCTTGCATGTTCGCCAGCTTGCTATTTTGCATCCCATGGGCAGCTCTTAGCCGCGTCTGCGTTCTCTGCCCTCCCCCTTGGCCAGCCAACCCACAGAGGCGATATGCTTTAATTTCAAGTCCACGGGGCAAAGAAGACGACCCCCGTGCTCCAAACGTCGACCTGCGGTGATGCCCATTCTCTAAGCACATAAAAGCCGGAACTTGCTGCTTCCTGCCCAAAAGTGCTCCGCAAGTCTAGGGGCGTCGGACCTGGGAAGACCGCAATCAAGTCTCACTACGGCCGTGAAATCTTAGCACTGCTGAACAAACTAACCTTTATTCAAGTCCACGCAAAGGGCTCAATGGAATCCACCTAATTAGCCGGGCACGCGCAAAGCTTTATTCAAATATGCGAGTATGCCCGTTTGGCGGACACTGGTATCTCACTTCCTTCCCACAGAAGCACCCGGGTGCAACCTTCGGACCCCAGAAACCGACCGCGAAGCGGCGAAGATCAGCGGGGTGCCTTGCTGCTGATGGTGGGGCTGGCCGTCTCGTGGCACTCTGGAGGCAAATACCTGGATTGCTGAGGAGCGTCCAACCAACGGCCAAACTAAAGCAAAAGCAAGTCCCACCAAGCAGAAAGCAACCCAAACGTAGGAATGAAGGAAGCTAATGGAACAACACATCTGAACATGTAGCAGGGGTGGCACCAAACCATAAACCAAATCCAGCGGCCAACTGGTTCCAGCGCCCCGCGTCGACAACTCGATGATCCCTTCTGGGGAGGCATCCGCCATCTTAGAGAGGCCAAAGTCCCCGATCTTCACCTGATTGGACACCCAAGACACAGACATGTTTACTGAGAAGAACATCCAGAAGCATCAAGCTATTGCAGAAGGGATCCTCAAAAACGCTTAAAGCTTGATATGATGTTTGATGGCCAGAACAACTTGAAAGCTGGCGTGAATCCCAAAATGAGGCGACGTTTCACCCAATCAACATGGGCAATGGGTGCTTGTGGCCTTCAAAGGTCAAGTGGCTTGAGCACGGAAGGATATGAAACGGCATGGCACGTACAGGTTGACATCAAGCCAAAGATCTCCATTGACCCAGCGGTGAAATGCCACAAATCTCCTGAAAGACTTGGGGGCGGGGAGCGCACGTGACAATATGCAAAAACACGGCTCCGTTGAAGCAACCCTGACTGAACCCAGACCTTCTTCTGGCCAAGCGGGCCTCAAGCAACAGCCCTTGTACCCGAGGGACATGAGAGCCCAGCAGGGCCCCAAATCGCGCCTGCCTTCCTCCAAGCGCTGCCCTTCTCCGTTTTGCGGGCGCAGAGCTGAAAAGAAACTAACTTTGACCCGAACAAATGAAGCCCAAAGGGCCCGAGGCCTGCCCCGCGTGGTAGAAGACATTGGAGGGCTTGATGTCGTAGTGGATAATCTTCCGCCCACTAGCATTCCTAAGCGATGCAAGCGCCGCCCACCAAGCAAAGCCGTTGATGCGCTTGGTTTCTTGCAATTCAAGGGCCGGAGCTAAGTGTTGCCAGTGAGGCTCAAATACCGCAGGCCATTCAGAATCTGAACGATGATCGTCTTGGCTTCCTGGCATGGCACGGAATCTGCAAACAAACCCATCTAGGAGCAGGTAGTTTGGTTGATTGAATAATGGGCAAATGATGACAAACGAGAGGGATGACCATCAGCAGGTTCAGGGCCTACTTCACCCTTCACCCTCACAGAGGATAGCATGCTGACTTCAAACACGCCTTCTCCAACATGGGCCCTTGCATCTTCAGGCGCATATCCAGCGTCTCGCCCTCACACAGCCTTCAGTTCAGTTGACGGGGAGCCCCTGCAAAGAGCCAAGCACTCAACGAGCCAAGCAGCACTCACCAGTCACGAGAAGCAATTCCTAATGCAGAGACAACTTGCCAAAAACAAAGAAGACTCTCACTCACACAAGTTGGAAGGTGTTCTATTCCCAGGGCACGCGGGAAGTTGTCAGTTTCACGGCGACGCAACTGCCTAGCCGATATCTGAAGCTGGGGCTGTTTTGAGCTATTAGGACATACTTCACAAAATATGTCCCAATTCAGAATCCGGAGTTTTTCGAGAATCGTTTTAACAACATGTTTTCCCCGAAAAAGTCCGGACAACAAATTGAGCGGGAAGCAACAATCAGACAAACATTGGGGATTCCTTTTTCGAAGTAACCCCCTAAACCAAAACAATTTCTTGAACAAGGGCAAGGCCAAACAGTCACGCAAAGGAGGTTGCCCGCCAGAGCCCTGGCTCTGCTTTATGTGACCGGATTGAAGTTCGCTTGAATGTCAAACTGTTTGCTCAAAATCTTTACGTTGAAAGGGACTCTTCTGGGTAAACCTTGGCAATACTCTGAAAGTCTTGGCAACACTAAGCTTAGAATTGGAAGAATTGGCACTGAGAAAGAAGCAGTTGGAATCTGAGAGTAAGGCTTTGCACTTTTAGATTTTTGAGCGGGCAAAAATGAAGTAATAAAATTTCCCGCGCTGGGAATCCGAGAGTCAGGCTTGGCAACGCTAAGTTTAGACTTTGCAACATAATGACTGCGCTGGGAATCCGAGAGTAAGGCTTGACAATACTTATCTTAAAATTGGCGCTGGTAACCTCCGAGGGGGGGGCCTGCAAAATGCAGGCCTCTGACAAATCCCCAAACAGTCTTCACGCTACGAAGTACTTCGTCAGCGTTAGCGTTGCAAGGACCTCAGCTCACTGCAAGCTCAACCCAACAACAATCTGGCAGCGCCAGGCACTGCCCACACCCCGCAAGCCAACGCTGAGCGAAAAGGTCACCAGAGCCAGGTCCTCGTGTCGGACTGGCGCAAGCTGAGCGCAAGAAGTTTTTAGGCCCGAGCTCTAAGGCGCGGGCTGTGCTGGGTGGGGTAGACTCGCGCCGGCGGCGCTGGTGGGAGCGAGAGCTGATGAGGGGCCCTTTCGTGGGTTCCGCCCAGGCTGGCCTCAACTCACCAGGCGGTCATTCCCTTGCTGAGGCCCTGGCTGCGCGTTGAACTTGCCAATGTCATGCGGAACTTCTGGCGGCGGTGGGACAAGCTTTTTTAAAGGGAACCACATGAGGCCGAAAGGGATACCATCGCGTTTGACCCCGTAGTTCGGCACACACCCAAATGGTCCAAGTTCCCTGCGCTTGGAGCGGCGTCAAAACTCACAGCAGAGCCATTTGTCAGAGTGAACTCAACGCTCAGAATCGCAACACGCTTGACAAGCAGAATTCATCACAGAGTTCCTCAGAAATTCGCTCTTGCGGACTCTGGGGGCTTTCTGCGTTGACAGTGTCAAGCTTCTGAAGGAGCACCCGTGTGTGAAAGCGCCGCACGCTGCTCAACGCTGCGAATTCAATGACAAACCAGTGGAATGGCGCCAGCGTTGATTATGGTATGGTCTTGCTGGTTTTCCTGACCATCCCTGACACACAGCCAAATTAGACCAATGTTCCTGGCCAATTGGGGCGGGCAACCCCTTGTCCAATGGAGCCTTCCTGCTTGTGGCAACATGGGCCGTGACATTCTCTCAGTAAACCGCAGCTCGCTCCCTGAGATCCCCGGGCCGGCTGCGGACATGCAGAGGGCCAGTATATTTTGCTCCTCGGGCAAAACTGTGTGACCCCAAGACCTTTCATTGACGGTGTACGGCAACAACAGATGGACATACGCACGTGCAAGGACAATTGATCCGCACGCTCGCGGTCATGGCATTTTTCAAGGATGCCTGCATCTTGCTGAAGGGGTAGCACTGATTACCTAAAATAAGTTAAGGTCTATTCTCAACAAGCAACCACCAGGTGACTCACCACTGTGCGCTTTTACCCGCCAAGGTGTCATCCCTGCATGGGCTTTCGGAAATTTCTGGGCTGCCAAGTGTCTGAGTTTGGACCATTCGAAGCTTCTGTGTGACAGTGACTTGAAGGTCTTTGCTGCTCTCTTACCTTGCATGAACCATCCCATGTTTGGCCCACGGTTGTGTGAACGGTCCCCCTTGACCCTCCTCCTTCAGTCGGGCCAAGAATGGTTCACGCAAGCGAGATGGCCAAAAATGGGTCAGCCCGTTCTTGCGAAGCCCATACTCCGCGGAATTCTTGTGGCGCTCATGCACCTGGCTTGGCACGTGCCAGCGCAAGGCCAAGAGACTGTGAACAAGAAGGTCAGCGTGCCAAAGTCCCAGCTACTCCGGCTTTTTGTGCTTTCTCCTGCTTCTTCTAAATCTTCTTGCGGCCCATGGCTGACGGGCAGACACGGTGGTGGGGAAGCTCCAAAAAGTAGCAGTTTCAATCGCAATTACTAGTGGGATCGCAACTTCTAAAAAAGAAATTCTCTGAACAAGAGAGGGCTGGGGGGCATTAGCCTAACCCTGGCACAGCGGCGTGCATCGAAGGAGACACTAACGGACACAGGTTTGGGGCGCATCGTTTTAACATCCTCAGCATCGTTTTCAACATCCTCAGCATCACCACGCTTTGGGTTGGCTGTTTTGGGTGGGTTCCAGGTTGGCTCAGGCTTGGCTCTGGGTGGGATGCAGGGTTGAGAGCAAATTTGGGGGTGAGTGCGGTTGCAGTAAATGTTTTTCTTTGCGCTGGTTTCTGGTGGGGCTTCTTGGAGCTGGTCTAGGCCGGTTTAGGGTAGGTTTAAAATTGGCTTCGGTCGCGGTTCTGTTTAAGTGGGCGTAGGGTGGTTTAAGGACGATGCCGGGCCTGAACCCTACTCTTCACGGACTACCCAAAACCTACCCTAAACCTACCCTGAACCCATCCCACCGAGGCGCCAACCAACCAACCAACCAACCAACCAACCAACCAACCACCTGCCAGGGTTAGCCCTGTGCCAGAGCCAGGCAAAACAAAAACTAGAAGATGGGTGGCCCGAAAGCATTAGCAGCGGCGGCAAGTTCTCCTAGCAAGTTCTCTGCGCAAGTTGCTCTGAGAAAGTTGTTGGCGCGAGTTCCTCTGAGCAACTCCTCCAAGCCAGTTCTCTGTGCAAGTTGCTCTGAGCAAGCTGCTGGCGAGAGTTTCTCCGAGCATTTTCCAAGCAAGTTCTCTGCGCAAGCTTTTCTGAGCAAGTGGTTGGCGCCATTTCCCCTGAGCAAGTTCCAAGCAAGATCTCTCAGCAAGTTGCTCTGAGCAAGTTGTTGGCGCGATTTCTTCTGAGCAACTCCTCCAAGCCAGTTCTCTGTGCAAGTTGCTCTGAGCAAGCTGCTGGCGAGAGTTTCTCGGAGCATTTTCCAAGCAAGTTCTCTGCACAAGCTTCTCTGAGCAAGTGGTTGGCGCAATTTCCCCTGAGCAAGTTCCAAGCAAGATCTCTCAGCAAGTTGAAGTTGTTGGCGCGATTTCTTCTGAGCAAGTTCTCCAAGCAAGTTCTCTGTGCAAGTTGCTCTGGGCAAGTTGTTGGCGCTATTTCCTCTGAGCAAGTTCTCCAAGCCAGTTCTCTCAGCAAGCTGCTGTGAGCCAAGTTGTTGGCGTGATTTCCTCTGGGCAAGTTGCTGAGACAAGTTCTCCCAGTAAGTTGCTCTGACCAAGTAAAAGTTGCGATTTTCTAGCCAGAGCTGCGAAAGCTTACTTTGCGTGCTATTTTCGTGCTTAAAGTTGTGATTTTCCAGCCGGAGCTGCGAGAGTTTACTTCGCCTGTAAAAGGCGCGATTCGCCACAGCGAGAGCGCGTCGACGCGCAGGGTCACCGCAGAGGGTTCGCCGAGACTAGGACGAATTCGCACGGCGCCACAGCGAGAGCGCTTCGACACGCACGACTCCGCAGAGGGTCGCGCGCGGACGATAGAAATCGTAAAAAGTGCACATGTTTCCTCGACCACGCGAATCTCCGCAGAGGGTCGCGCGAGGCCGGCAGAAATCGTAAAAATGTCCTCAGTTGCTTTACATCGACCACGCGAATCTCCGCAGAGGGCCGCAATCCCGAGCGACGATCACACTCCCACCCCGGCGCCTTAGAAACCTAAACTAACGAACATAGCTGCTAACGCCGGGCTCTGCGCAACTTGGCTCTGTGCTACTGGGCTCTGTGCAACTTGGCTCTGTGCCACTTGGCTCTGTGCAACTTGGCTTTCTGTGCAACTTGGCTCTGTGCCACTTGGCTCTGCGCAACTTGGCTCTGTGCAACTTGGCTCTATGTAACTTGTCCAAGGGCTCCGCACGGAAGAACCCTTCGCGTTGCTTTCAGGAAAAACCACCCTTCCAACAAGAGAGCCTTCAACAAAAAGATTGAGCATAAGCCTTCTTCGAACCAGCACCCAAGTTCGCGGCTAAAGCCTTTCAAGTTCTTCGCAGTTGGGTAGACCCCGCTACATGGATGTCTCTCAAAATTCAGAATCCCTCCAGAATGAAGCAGCGTGGCACATAACACGCATGCAAAAAAAAAGACACGGCAGACACCTAGGTCCCCCCCCCCCAAAAAAAAACACAAGAAAAAGAAAAGAAGAAGCAAAAAGCAATTTCCTGCAGTTGGGGATGGCAATGCTAAAGTAAGCGCTGGGACCCTGAGTGTTGGCAATACTTACAAAAACACAAGCCCTGCGAATCTACCATACTACATGTTGAATTGGCAATACTGGAGCAAGTACTGGGACCCTGATATTAAATTAAGTATGATTGCCAATACTAAATTAAGCACTGCGAACCTGAGAGTGAGTCTTGGCAACACTACGCGTGAAATTGGCAATGCTAAAGTAAGCACTAGCAAGTCGAACCGAAGCCAGACCCCCAGTACTGGTGGCACAAAGCCATTGAAGCAGCCCCAACATTACGAATCCTGCCCGGTGCCGAGAAGCTCTAGGACCAGCACAAAGGCATGGGAGTCCAAAGCATAGCAATCTTTGAGCTGCACGATCCGCGGATGAGCCAGGCTTTTCTGGATCTCCTGAGGCACGTCCGCAAGGCTTGATGGGGCAAAGGCACGTGGGTTGGGGTCCCTTAGCTACACGAAAAGGCGAAGCGAGCAAAAGATGCCATGGCTGGAGTTCTAAAGAGGTCTGGTTTAAGCATACTGCATTCCACTCCAAGGGCCAATGGATTGATATTCTGGAGGGATAGTAGGACCCCACCAGCTCCCAATCTAGGGCCACAACCGAACAACTCTCAACCGACCGCCTGCAACAGCTGGCCCCGCCCGGGTCTGACTTCCAAGCGTCGCACTCGCGGAGGGCCCAGCGCACCAGGTCCTGCCGCTGGGAGTCCGACATCTTTGCCTCGATCTCGTTGATCTTGATGGCACACATGGCCATCCTAAGGTTTCGCTTCACGGCCTGCGCTTCATGGCAATGGCCTTGTCTCATGCCCTCATGGCTTTGGGCTCGTGCGATGGCATTTGTGCAAGTGGCGATTCAGCAAACACAACCTTGGACGGGTAGGTGTGCAGCCAAGCGCATTGATTTGAACACCGTCTTCTCGGAGCTTCTGTGGGCTCCAGCCCCTTTGCCAGCACAGCTGCCGCCACAAACGTCAAACAAGTCAAGCCGCTTTGGGAGACGTTCGGCCCCCCAGCAAGCAAACTGCTCGGGCAGCCAAGCGATCGGATTCCAATCAAAGAAGCGCCGAACCAAATAACAACCAGCCACGGGCTTGGAACCCTCCCCGCTACGCCAGGGCTCTGCTCCAGATCGAAGGCCTTGTAGATCTCGCTAAAGCCCCCGCGGCCGATCATGTTCAGCAGCTGGTACCTGTCCTGGCCGCACAAGACTGCATGTAGCCCTCCAAACGAAGATGCCCGCTGGCAACCCTGAAGGACAAGAGAATCCATCTTGAGCAACAATGCCTTCAGATTCAAGAAGGAACGCAAAAATGGAACCCCACTTAATCCAAGCAATCTTCCTAGGTGCTCATTGTGGTGTTGACGGTTCCCCATCCCCAACCCAGACTGAGCAAAATAGTTTGCTGAGGTCTTCCAACGAGCACTTGCCACTTGCGCCTGTCCTTCAGGATGGGGTAGTGCTTGAAGCGGGACATGTCCTCGGCCTGCAAGAGCATCTTCTGCTTCAGGTACCTGGGTGCCGTTTGAGCCCGCTAATTAATCGCGGCGCAGTGCTTACATCGTATTTTCACGAACATGCCCAAGTAGCTAATAGCAGCCAACAAAAAGGCGCCAAGCATACACCTCCTGTGACGATCAGTGCCCTCCAGCCCTGTGTTTTGCACAGTGGAGCAAGATTAGGCCGAGCAAGGCAAAGAAAAATGCCAAGTCCATTTTTCAGTCATGGCGCAATGTCCTGTCTGCCATCAGCCGGGTTTCGCGCTCCTTGATTGCCTGATCCTCCCTCTTGATGTAGTCCTAGATTCAGGCGCAGCCCTCCCATCAGGCTGGACGGGCATGAATTGCGGTTCTCGTGCTTAAATGGTTGAGCAGCTTCAAACAAATGAAGGATCCTCTGGGAAGAATGTCGGTACAATTGCTGACACCAAGCACCTCTTCTCAACTAAACATCGGGCATGGGTCGAAACCTACCCGTTTGAGCCAGCAAGTCATGTGATCAGACCTAGGGCTTGCACAGGGCCGTCCCAACATGCCAAGGCCGCAGTGAGAAACTCAGTTCACCCGCACATTTCCTTGCATTGGTTGCAAACCCAGCCTCAAGGGAGGCAACCTATTCCATGTGCACAGGCTCAGTTGACGGGCCAGAGGTCAGTGCACGGTTGAGGTGGGGCGCTAACTGGCTGGCTTGACAGAACTTGAAAGTTTGCCAGGAGATGGTCTTGGGACTGGCACAGTGACCAAGGCTCAGATAGCTCGCGAGACCTAGAAGTTGTTTGGTTGACAGCCAATAGTGTCAAAACATATCGAGGTCCTCCAAGTCTAAAAATCAAACTCATCCATGCAAGCCGTCCAAATGACAACAACCGATTTGACAGTCCTGGCGGTGGAAGCACACCTCTCGAATCTCCATGAGGTCGTCGGGGTCCTCCATTTCTGCCTCCTGAAATATGGTCTTGCCCGAGGAAGATACCAGAAATGCTCTCAATGAAATTTCGCACTTCAGAGAAGTTGTATGGGAGCACCCAGGCCGGGCTCCGCGTCGCATGATCGGAGCCCATGTCTGACAAGCTAAGGTCTGCAGGAAGGACTGTGAAACTCGATCAGGGCAAAAATAAGGTACCCCCCCCTTTCAGGCAGAGTTGTAAAAGCCCCACAGACCGAATCACCATAATTAAGTCAACCCATAGCAATGGCTAAGTACCGGGGTGCCAATCCGAGCACACGGCCATCGCTTCCCATTTTTCCCTTCCACTGCTCCGGTCAAAACCTTGTACCGCTGGTGAACATCGAAATCGCTGGCAAATGGACGTTCATCCACCCCCAAATGGAGCCATAGGCTATGCAACCCATGGCCATATCGTTCCGTACCCCATCCCCTCGGCCGTCCTCAGGGTCCGCCTTGGCCTTGGAGGGCTTCAGCGACTTCCGCAGCGACTCCACGGAGTCCCGCTCCTGTCCTCGATCGAGAATGCAGCTGTAAGGCAACAGAGCGTCGCTTGCCTATTCGACAGTCGCGTAAGCGGTTCAATCGTCAATCTATAGTGAAACGCCACTACAACATTCGATCGCGAAACCCCGACGTTTGCTAGACGGCCACAGGAGTCGTCAAGCGAACAAAGAGCTAATTACCCACAGAATGCGAGCATCTAGTTCAAGCCGTCCAACATGAGCTTCTCCCGTTCTGTTTTTGCCAAGATCCAGGCACCCGAAAAACCTGGAGGCGAGAGCAATCTGATTGACGCCCAGGGCAAGGGCAGGAGCAGTTCTCAGCGATCAAAGTTTCAAGTGAATCTGTTGGGAAAACAAACTTGAAACAAAGGCCGTTCAAGAACATGGCTCCATGGGCTCCCTAGTCTTAGTGTTGGACCCTTCTTTGTAAGTCAAGACTTGGCGTTGACCGTGTTGGAACAAATCAACTCCTCAAGAACTCCAGAAGCGAATTAATTAATTTTGGGTGCAGCATCCTTGGATTGGAGCTGAAACAAGATGATGCTAGCACCGGCGAGGCTCAAGTAACCCCTACTATGGCTCATTTGATACAGTCATGCGATAATAGAAATGGAGTCCAAATCAAATGGCAGCCAAAGAGCTGGATGCCTTTTGCTGCGATTTGCTTGGGCTGGTAATTTTGCAGTGAGGGGCACCCTTGGTTTCATTCCCGGGGAATTGGGCAAGCGTGCTGGGCAGCAACTGTCCAGGCAAACGTGCCGTTCACCGAGGCCCTCCCGCGCCATGGCTCGGAGGCGGCACCTCTGCTGCTCGATCTGCTCCGCCTCCGAGCCGCCCTCCCAGTCCTGCACAAAGCAAGTCTGATCTGCTAGGCCCAGCTTTGACATAGAGCGGTTCCCCCATTGCCCATCAACCCAAAACGGCCTACAAGTGCAAATCGGTCTTTCACGGGCTTGGGCGCAACTCTCTTTTCGCTTAAAAATTATTTACAGAAAAAAAGGCACCCCGACGAAACCGGGTCTTTTAAAGCTTTGCTCAAGGATTGCGACAATGCTCATTGGATTGTATCTGCTGGGTGGATTTAGCCAAAGCCCTCGCGCCACTCGTTTTTGCCATGCCCCAACCAAGCAACGGCCCCAGGCCTGCTGCCCATAAGTCTGCGAGCAGCGATACCTTAGCCAAAAAGGCACAGACTGTCAAATTGTGATACAAGACTCCCCTCAAAGAAACCAACCGCAAAAGCGAACCTGACGGAGCTGCATACTCTGACTCGTGACCGAAGCATGGCATCTGAGCCGTGAAGTCAAACAGCAAAAGCAATGCGGAACGCAACACACCGGGTCATCTGAACTTCCCCAGCCACAACATGCAAAAACAGCGACCCACACATGGACAGATTCGAAGAAGCAAACGCCAATCCTCTCCCTTCTCCAACAACTGTGCAACCCTAATCGCAGAAATGGAAGCACTGGTTCCCTGCACCAGGGAAGTGGTAGCCTCAGACCCCCCCCTTAGTGCCCCTGCCAAGACTCTTCCCAAGGCGCACGCCATCCTGAAAGAGCTTCACTCTTGCCTTCTCCCGCTCCATCCTCAGCGGCCGAATGCAAAGACCCAAGTTTGGCTGACCCCCAGCTAATATCTGGTGGTTCTCTGTACGTGCATTTCTGACTAAGGCAAGTGGGTGAAGGACGTCCTCGCCAAGGGAAGTCCAAGAAATGTGCAACGTACATCTTGACATGGGGTTCGCTCCGACTTCCGTCCCCCCGCACCCATTAACAACAAGAACTCAGTTCCAGCCGAAAGGCTTGGCCAACTCCACAAGACTTTGGCAGAGCATGGAACGGCCCTTCTTGGCCAAGGTCACGAGGCTCTGGATCTGAGACTTTTGGTCTGAGAACTCCTGGCACTCCGTCTGGCAACTCGCTGCAAATGAAAAACGACACCATTGTCCACAGCTTTCCCAAACGCCAGAATCACCATGCTCAGGACATTCTCCGCCACTACTCAGTGAAGAACATCCTTGTCGCAATGTTCAAGGGACACGTCTGCGGCCTTCCTCACCACCTGAACAATAGAACGTACTGGCAATAGATCCTGCATTGTGCCGGTTCTTCTAAGCGGCATGCGCGAGGAGATGAGCGGCGCAATTGCATGCAGAGCTTCAAGTTCCGCTGCACAATTGGGTGTACTTCTTTTGTGTGCGAGATGTTGAGAGAGAGGATCAATAGATAGAGTGAAGAATGGCTTGCCTCTCACCTCATCCTTCTTCCCTAATTCATTTCTGGAGAATTCTTATGTTGGGGAAGGAATAAATAGAGTGGGAAAGAAGGAATGGAGAAAGAAATACATACTTACAATTTCTACCTTCTAACAGATTCTGAGGTAGAAATGGAGTTAAGGCAGCCACAAGGGACGTACATGCGGAATTAGTGGCATGGGCTTCAAAGACAGCACAATGAAGTCCAGAATCAGTTTCCCCAAACTGGGCTCAAGCATGAACACCTCAGCGGTGCTGTACAAGCATATGCCTACTCGGATCGTTTGTAGAAGCCCTTGGCTGCACTTGCATTGCTTGCTCCAAAGCAGGCTTCCTGCGTGGACAGGCAGCCATGCCGGCCAAGTACATGTGTGCGCCAATCAGCAAACATGCCTATTCTCCTAGACTAGCCTTTGAAAAGTACAAGGCACACACAAACATCCTTCTTTCAAGGACGCATCTTCTGAAGCAGTCCTGACCAACCTGGCAATCAGTTCTGCGAATCCCGGATAAACCTTTGTAGCCTTCGGCCTCCATTTTTTTGTGGCTTCCCTCTCTCCGCATATTCCCGTGTCTCCTGCTGTAGGCGTCTGAGCTCCCGGTCCCTGTCCTCGGGGTCCAGGCTCTGGCGCTTCCGCGAGCGGTTCGCCGGGCTCGCGTTGTCAGAGCCGTCCATGACCTCGGCGCTCCGGTTGAGCGCTTGGGAGGGGTTGGCCGATAGAGGCGACAAATGGGTATTGGTCAAAATTAAACCACCAGGGGACCGCAGGTTTCTATGTTTTCATTTACCAGGATTCCATTTTGGGTACATATTTTTGACCCACAGCCAAATAAACGACGCGGCTTGCTCTAAGGAAAACCTGCAAACTACTCAAAAGGGCAAGAGATGGCAAGAAAGCACTAGGACACTGAACATACCATTCACACATTGCAGTGCCTGCTCTCGAAGCGGCTGGCACTGGCGGCCGCTTCGATCCGCGCCGCTCCTTCGGCTTGGGTGCAGTATCCTCATCCTCAGGCATTGGCGCTGGCACTTGACGCATTTGCTGCAAGCAACCTCCCAAGGTGGAATCTGAGGGAGCTATTTGCGCTCCTTCTGTTGCAGGGGAGGCTTTGTCTGGTTCCATGTTCGCATGTGGGACACCCCGGCCTTCAAAACAGGTTGTTGTCAAAAGAAAGGGGGAAACAGAGCCTGCAATTTCTGTCTAGTAATTCGCCTCGACCCCCAGGGCCGGGGAGCAATCAATTCCTCTTTGGATCATAGGGATCTCCAAGCCTAACCGACCCAAACTTGCCTTGGGCTTTCAGCATGGTGTCGCGTAAGAACGGAGATCAAAAGAAGCCTCTAAATCAACAAGCCCTGGCCGAGGCGGGTTGTTGAGAAACTGCATTATCCCCAGCTGTTCCGAGACTTGAGGTAAGGCCGCAGTGTCTTCTGGGTGCAGAAGTGATCGTCCCCCAAAAGGCTCTTTGCTCACTTACGTGGACTGCCTCCCACGGGCACCTTGCCACTTGCACTGCAGCGGTCCGCTACAACCCGAGGCGCCTCGTGCGTCTCCTCGCGTGGGCTTTCCGCCTTGGGGCTCAGTGCGCTATCCACTGACGCCGCCGACGACGCCTCTCCATCCATGGCGAGCCGCGCGCCAGCTGCGTGCTGACCGGGGATCGCCCTAATTTGCCATAAACTTTCACCCATTGCTTACAACCATGCTTCTGCCGGGAGGTTGCGAACATGTATGAACATGTCTGGTCACATCTGCCATGGCAGGCACCACGCCGAAGCTCAATTCTTCCTACATTGCCTTGTCTCCCTATGCTGGTTGTGACTTGTGACCACAACTGCTGCCAGCAATGCTCATCCAGTCAACCAACTGGCCCAGCACAACCCGGAACAAGTGACAGTTGCATATTGCTACATGTGCATTTGCTCTACTGTTCGCAGCCGCTCGGCAAAGAACCAGCGCTTCCGGAGCGTGGGGCCCTCCAACAACACCAATCTCAGTAACCTGTCATTGGCATAGTTGCCTGGTGAAAGTGACAGAGGGAGACAACACCTGTCAAGATGGAAGGGCGATTGGGCAACAAACAGGCCATAGCCCAAAGCATGCACCGAACAGGCCTCTCTTATGACCAAGCCAATCTTTCAAGGATCATACTTTAAGACTTCGCGAGCCCGGCGAGCCCAACAAAAACAGGGGACTGGGACCCGTTGCTTTCTCAATTGCTAACCCCCTGGTCATGCAGTTGCCTTCAGGCTTTCACAGGAACATCCCGTTGGACTGGACAATTCAGATTTTGCTTGAGCAAATGCCGTCAAGGCCTCGAGGCACAAACCTGTTCACTCTTCTGTCCAACCATTTATTATTTCCATCTGTGTACAAACCTCTCCATATAATACATATATATATATATACACGGACATTCATCTACAAACAGAGGCTTGATAGATTCGTCTTTGGGGGTGCGTTGAATGCGTGAGCCGCGGACCAACCTGAAGTTTGTAAACGAAGGACGAAGGCGAAAAAGTAGAACCCCCCCCCCCCGGCGCTCAAAGAATGCTGAGGGAAGCTAACATGTAAAATTCACAGGTGGGGCCTCCGCCGCACACTCGCACACTCGCCCACTCGCCTGCGCCAGCCACATAGCTCCCAAGGATGGGCCCCAGAAAGTTAGCGAAGGAGAAGGCTGCCTCGGACACGCCCTGCATCAGGCCCTGGCGGGCAGAGCGGCCGGCAAACAAGGCGGCTCTGGCACGCTGGACCTTCCCTTCTCTGCCTGGACGCTGATGGGCAGGTGGCTGGTGTACAGCGTTCGTGCCGGGGTCCGGATCAAAGGAGCCGGTACCACAGCGAGCACCTACCGACAGGTCAGAGTTGGGGGAATGAGCCTGCTGACATTGCCGCTTCTGAGCGGGTTCCAAGAATTCCCGGCGAACAAACATGCAACAATGGAACAAGGCCTGGGTCCCAGCCATGTTCCGGGTGAGTGGGAACAAGGGTGCCAATCCGAGCGACTGTCAAATCCGAGGCCCCGCACAAACCACGGCAGCACGAACTCCTCGGAAAGGCTCACTGGAACGCCGTGCTCCCTGATGACAAAGGGCCAAAATATTCTCAATTTCAGGAGGCTATAATCCGCAAGAACCAAGGCGGCTAGGAAGCCACTCCCTGGCCAGTGGGGGCGAATTCGAGGAATGTCCAACTGCGAAAAGGAGTCCTTTGCACGAAGCTTGAAAATCAGAATTTGTCAATTGGTTGGTCTGGCATGCCTGGGCAGGTTTGAGGCCTCGCCATTTGGACCATAGGCCTTTGCGATTTGGCCTGGCCCAGCTCTGCCCAGCATGGGCAGGGTGACCCAGTGAAGCCATCTGGGCCATCCTTCACACTGAAAGAGCAACAAGTCATGGAAACACTGCGCACGCCATCTGAGTCAAGCCAGCGCACCATGTGTCAGTTAGGTCAATCGCCCACTCCATGAAAAACCTGACAGGGCTTGCGAATGTGATGGCCAGCTGTAGCTACACATCTGTCCAGTCGGCAACCTGAATGAAAACACCCGCTCATCTGCAAGTCCCTCCCCAACAAAACTCGCCAAGCATGGCGGGGATGTTGCCGAATTGCTGGTCCAAGGGAAAACCCACCACAGTTTGAAATGCTGAAAGTCTAACAGCGAACAATTCAGGAACCCGTGTCTGACTTGAGCAACCAACAAATGGCTGTAGCTCAACAAAGTAGTACCAATTTTTGAGCCCCTTGGATGGAAACAAAGACCAACACCTGCGAAACCCTAGCTCTTTAATTTTGAGCCACACCCAAATGCCTACCCAAACCCAGTCCCAAACACCGCCAGCCGCCAGCTTTCTTTGCCCGCCAAGTGGCCAGCAGGTTCCCGCCTGGAGATGGCCACCGGCGCGAACCAACAGAAACACCCCCGAAACGTCCTTTGAGAAAAAATAGATGGCCCTGGCAAATTTTTAAACCACCAAATAAACCAGGGCCATCCATGTTTTTTTGCCACAAAAAACAACAAAAGACACGTATGCCCACGCTTCTGATCTTTCCCTATCCCATATCCCATGGCGCACAGCCGTTGCCATATCCTGGATCCTGTGTGGGCGCCGTCCATCGACTTTCGGGACTTACAGCATATCAACGTCCAACATTCCACGGGTATGCAATTCTGCACAGCTCAAGATTGCATTAGCAGCCGCCTGGACAAAGTGATGTTGCTATGGAGGACCAGGTTCCACCACCTACTAAGTTGTACTTGCCAAGAGCCTGAATCCCCTCTGAATTCCTATATTCCTGCTTTGACTGCAACTGTTTGACGGTGAACGTGCCAGCATTGATGTGCGGAGTGAAATTCCGGGACTAGCACTGCTGGCGCAGGCCCATGTCAGGTTGCTGGCCGATGCTCTGATAAAGAGCTGCAGAGCTCAACGTGAGAAGCGAGCAGCAGTGTCGTGAATGCCTGAGTCTCACTGAAATCACAGTGAAGCTCTTTCCGCCAACTGCCAATCATCAGCAGCTCGCTGCATGGATTGCGGCTCACATTTCTAGCGGGCACCTCCACCTTGTGGCCTCGAAGTCAGGAAGCCCCGCGTCCGGAGCAGCTCCCAAGTACTCCTTGCCTTCAAGCATGCTACCCAAGAGTTGAAGGCACCACTTCCGAATCAGAATCTCTCGTACCGGGACCTCCAGCGCAGCTACGATCCTGCCCACGCTGCCTACATTAAAATCATTAAAACAAATGATGAGACCATCTTACACTGAGGTCATGCAAGCCGAGTGGCAATTTGCCTGACGATGAAAGTCCTAGCTGGCCTCAGCAGTGGCTACTTCCTGCACCAAGCCCCCAGAGCCGGGTCACATTGATGGAGACATCCGGCAAAAGTTCTCACGGTTTCAAGGTCATCCTCTTCCAACAGCTGGACCCAGCCCCGCGTTCCCAGCGCGCCTAGTTCCCAGCTTTGCTGCGCCAGGCATGCGCCCAGCGCAATGGAGGCGACGCCCACACACCTGCCGGGTAGCCAGCTGCTGATGCCGCTGACCAGGGACAGACTGACAAATCAGTTCAGCGCATCAGCACAAGATGCCGTCCAACCCGGGAAAGCAAAGAGCGGGCGCCGAAACAAAGCAGACCAAAGACACAAGCGGTTCACTTCCTGGTTTGCCATCCTCTTAAGCCACGTGAGAGGAGGGAATAGAGTGCCAAATGCCAGCCAATCCAAGCCGCGGCGCATAAGGCTTCGCCCGCTGAATCTGCCGGTTAACGCCTCAGCACATCGCAAAAAGTGAGTCGAATCGCTGGTGCACCGCAAATCAAAGACGTGAGGAACGCCGAAGCAGGCAACAATGCGGCACACACAAGCCAGTTTTTGTTTTTGTGAGTAGATCCGCAACCAAGCAACCGCAACGAGATTTCAGCCACACATCTCCGTATGAGTATCCACGGCTATATGAAAGGGCAGGTGGCCAAACAATTTCCAGCAACTCGTCAGCCCCAAGCACTTACACGCTGAGCTGGCATCTCGGCTCCTGGCCCCAGTGATAGCAAAGAGGCCGAGCACCGACAGGGAGGTGAAGCCAAAGAGGAGGCTCGTGGCGCGTGGGGGCAGCCGGAACTGGGCAAGCCGTGGCGTCCCTGCACCCCAAATGTTCCTCACTCTCGCCTGACGTGTGTCTTAAACTGGGTTCGGGATTCTAATCCGCAATCCGCAATCCATAGCGCACTATACTGTTGCGCAACGTTCAGTCAACCTGCCTCGTTGGTGAGGACGATGGGCGGCACCACCTCCAGCACAGCCAGCAGCAAGGCCGTGACCACCTGCCGTGGCCCCGTTCAGATGGCTGTGGGATGGGGTTGTACGTCTGTCGTGCGTAAGCTTCGTTTGTGGTTTGAAGGTGTGACAATGGCCTGACGATGCATCAGCATCCCACTATCCTACTTCTTAAGAAGCTTCCTTGAAATTCCTGAACATTGACTCCCAGAATGGCCCCAACTTAACTTGACGCAGGAGCCCGTGGGCGAACTCTGTTGGAGGGGGGCAGCGGTGCGTAGGCGCTTTTTTCTCGAGCCTGGAACAGGAGGCACACCCATACCGCCAGCTTGCAGACCGAGCCCGCCTCAGTCTATTTTCACAACAGATCACTGCCTCGGCGCGTGCGCGAACACATTGAGTGCGGAGATACGTCAATGTTGGCCACCTGGGCGCTGGCACTTAGCCGGAGCAGATGGCTGCAGCCATTTCTTGATCAGTCGGGGGGAAAAAACGATTTGATGGCTTGCTAAACAACCATGAGACCGCAAAAGGCCCATGACATTCACAACGGCAGAGGGCGCAAACACGCCAAGCTGCCCCCTCTGCTGCCTTCTGCGTTGCCTGCGGCTCCTGCTCGGAGAGGGCCCAGAAAAAATCGGGGAGACAGAAGAGGCGGCTCCATGCTTCAACCGCAACACAGTCCCACCGTCTATTCAACTCCTGAATTCCGAAAACGTACGATCTGATCCCAAGAAATGATCATGGTTGGAGTACGCATCAACATTTCTAGGCGAACCTTGCATGTTTTCCAAAACATCGCTCCAACCTTAAAGCCCGGTGCCCTGAAGTGCCCAATGCCATTTATCTTG